CACGGCCGCCTCTTCCCCTTGCCCCGCAAAAAAGGAGCCACGCCTGCAGCCAGCTCTGGGGCATGGCAGTGTGGGACCCGCTCAGACCCCAGCTCAGCCCCCCAGCTCAGCCCCCCAGCATAGCACACAGCACGGGTCCTGCGCTGCCCCAGCTCAGCTCCCAGCTCATCCCAGTTGCCCAGGTCAGTCCCTGCACTGGGACACCTCGCCTTGCCGGGCCCCATGCGCAGCTTGCAGGGGTCAGGAGGAAGAGCGCAGCCTGCACAGTGCCCCATGCAAGGGGACAGTGTCACCAACGTGATGACTGCCATGCCACAGCCCCGTGCTGGCCCCCCAGCTGTCCCCAGGGCTTGGGGACACCCAGCCCAACCTGGGTCTGAAAACGTGACATCTCCTCGCAGCAAGGGAGCGCTGGCAGAGGGGAGAGAAAACCCACTGAAAACCAGCCCACTCCCACTCGCTGCGGCGCCGTAGCTCGAGCAATGCCTTGCGGCGCCGCTCGCCCACGCAGGACTCATGATCCGGCGCGTGGGAGGGCGGCTGCGTCGCAGCCATGCTGCTTCCTGTCCCAGCCTGCTCCCAGGGACTGTCCCCGACTGATTCATGCCCTGGATTCTAATCGCTATTTAGAGTGGCACAGAGTTCATTGAACTGGGGGAGGAACGTGGTGGCACTGGCCCCACTGGGGCACCAGGAGGGCACACGGCCCTGAGGATGGAGGGAAAGGGCTGGAGGCTGCCGGCTTGCCCGGTCCTGGCTGGAAGCAGCTCCCGAGACGGGATGGAGGATGAGTCCAGCAGAGCAGCACTCAGGGAACAGGATAACTCAGTGGGAACTGGCACTGGGGGAGCTCACACTGAACTGGCAGCAGAGGCAGAGGGATGGAAGCTTCCTCCTGTGCCCATCCCCGCTGGCCTCAGCCACTGGAGACAGGGCAAACAGGTCTGCCCAGGCAGCCTCCTGCCGCAAGCGCTGCTGCCGCTGACTAATGCCAGGGTGGAGAGAGTCCCATGCAACAGCTCACCTCCTCTAGGTCCTACCACAAACAGTGGCCACGACCAAAGCCGTAGCTCTGGCAGTGCCTGTGGGCGCTGCCCACCCAGCCCGGGGACCCCAGGAGCTGGAGCACACAGGATGACAGCTTGGTCTCACGCAGAAGCCACCCAGCAGCATCCCACCACAGAGACTTCCCGCCTCCGCTCTGGCGGGGTGTAGGCACGGGGAGCCAGGCTTTACCCCTCCAACACCCCCAGAAGAGGGGTTCCACCTGCCCGCCATGGCCCCACTGCCATCAGGGAAGGGCTGGTTGGATCTATCTGCCCTCTCGGCCAGGCCCCGGCCCTGGCTGGGATAATCTCAGCCCAAGGACGATGCCAGAGGTGGATCGTTTCGCTGGCTGCTCTGGCGGGGTGTAGGCACGGGGAGCCAGGCTTTACCCCTCCAACACCCCCAGAAGAGGGGTTCCACCTGCCCGCCATGGCCCCACTGCCATCAGGGAAGGGCTGGTTGGATCTATCTGCCCTCTCGGCCAGGCCCCGGCCCTGGCTGGGATAATCTCAGCCCAAGGACGATGCCAGAGGTGGATCGTTTCGCTGGCTCCTTTATTCAGCTGGAGTTTGTGGGGAAGGGGAGGCAGGGAGCCAGGTTTACGACCAGGTTTCAGACTGGAAGCGCTGGGACCGTTCCAGGGCTGTTAAATACTCCTCTGCTTCAGAGGGCGACAGGCCACCTTCCAGCTGCAACACTGACTGCAGGGCTTCGGCCACTGCTGCCGGCATCTGC